GGGGGGGCTGATGCGGCCCCTGGGCCGCATGTTTGACACCACTGATCTAGGGATATTGCTTTGGTAACATGGTGGTTCTTCTTTGCTGGTTTGTTTATAACTCATAGGGTGCATTCAGCGGAACTGCCCTGGAAGTACACCCAGCAGTAGCCAATGGAAACAACGGATGGTTTTTCAGGACTGCTCTAGGCAGAGGGGAGACAGTTTGCAACAGAAATTCCCACATGGACCTGCCTGGCTGTTGAGATTTTTATTGGAGGCCTTCCTGCACACGCCCTTGCGTGCAGAGGCCGGGCAGGTGGCCATGGGAAAAAGCCTCTATTTGGTGATTTCACCCCATTTAGATTGTTTCAGGTGGTGGTGGGGAGGAGATTGGATTCATACCCCATGGCCCTTCACTTCCTGAAGGAGTCTCAGAGTGGCTTACAGTCTCCTTCCCCTCCCCACAACAGGCACCCCGGGAGCAGTGTTCCCTCTAAGCTGAGTTACTGTGAGCTAGCTCAGTTTTTTAGCCTCCAGAGGAGGTGCGATTCCTCGTTTAAGTGCACGAGAAACAAACAGCAAAAAACCCAACAACAACTCACCCGCGGTTGCGTCCGAATGCAGCTTCAAAGGGAGGTGTGATCTTGCAACTGCGTGTCAAATTCCTCTGGAGGAAATAGCCTCGCTTCCCCCTCCACCTCAACTGACTGCAACCTCACTATGCTAACTAGTTGTCCTTGTCATCTTCTCTATCTCCTATCTTCTCTGTCTAAACCAGTGGTGGCGAACCTTTCAGAGACCGAGTGCCCAAACTGCGACCCAAAACCCACTTATTGATCGCAAAGTGCCAACACGGCCATTTAACCTGAATACTGAGGTTTTACTTTAGAAAAAACAACTCATACGTTCACTTAAGATGATCCAAACAAAGTCAGGAAAGCAATCCCAAAGGCTTTCATTGACTTAAAATTATTTGGCAGAGAATTCGACACTTTAATGATGGCCTGGGCCTGGCTGGGGCGATGGCACACGTGCCCACAGAGAGGGCTCTGAGTGCCACCTCTGGCACCCGTGCCATAGGTTCGTCACCACTGGTCTAAGCACTAGATCTTGCATATCCCAAGACTCCCTCCCTTAGAAAAATCACTGCTGAGAAAGATTTCCCTGGCAACATTTTTTTTTAAAGTTTTTAAAATTTTCCATACAAGACAAACACAACATAGACAAACAAAACATACATACAACAAGGGGGGGGGGGCCTTCCGTTTACAACATTAATTTGTCTGGGCAACATTTCTGACATATTTTAGGTATGGAACAAAGTATGCTCTATTTATTTCCTTAACTTGTTTATGTAATGGGGTGGGGTGGTTTGAAAGTGCAGTACTAAACAGAGTTACACCCGTCTAAGCCTATTAATTTAGAAGGGCAGTCAAAAGGCTTAGAAGGACTTAACTCTTTTCAGGATTGTACCGTTGGCTGGTCGTATGGGTAGCAGCCTTGTTTTAGAACAAAGTTGGAGTCCAGTGGCACCTTTAAGGCCAACAAAGTTAAATTCTGGGCATAAGCATTCATGTGCATGCACACTTCTCCAGATAGCTCCCTGCAGGAGCAGATGCCTGAAGAATTGTGCATGCACACGAAAGCTTATACCCAGAATTTCTTTTTTAAAGTAGTTTTACTGAAGAAAGAATTTTGTAATTTAACAACACCAAAACCATTAAACAGTATAAAAAAAACAAAACTTCACAATCATGCTTAATCTTCATATCTTCTTCTTCGTCTTCTTTCTTCTCCCAAAATTAATTACAAAATAATGTTTATAAGCAGGGGTCATTTGGGGGGGGGGGCGCGGGGGGGTGCCATCCCCCCGGAGGGGGGACGCCATCCCCCCGGGTGAGGTGCAGGAGGGCGGGGCCTGGAGCTCCCTGCTGGTGCCCACTGGAGGTCGCCGCCGGCTGTGGGGAGGACACACTTCCGGTGATGTCAGGGGGTGTGGCATATGCTAATGAGTTATGCTAATGAGTCCCCTAGCTCTTTTTCTACGAAATGACCCCTGTTTATAAAATTTTCAAACAATCTTAGCTCATTATTATAATTTTACAGTATATTTTCAAGTTAATCTTGAACTAAATTATAATTACACTCAGTCCTCAGAGGCCTCGGTTCAGGAGGGGAAAAGACCCTCCTTCCGGGGACTGATTGGTCCTGGGGGGAACATACCCAGACACTCGTCACAGTCATAAGAGCATAAGAACATAAGAGATACCAATGTTGGATCAGGCCAAAGGCGCATCCAGTCCAACACTTTGTGTCACACAGTGGCCAGAAATACCAGGGGCCAGAGGTCATTTCGGGGGGGATCGCGGGGGATCTCAGTTCCCCCGGGTGAGGTACGGGGGCAGGGCACATGACGAAGCCCCGCCCCCTGCTTCCGGCCGCCCCGCTTCCGACCCTCATTCAGCCAGGAGGAGGCAGGAGAAGAGGGAGGGTAAGTTGCTTCCTCCCTGCCTTTCCCCACCCCTGCCTGCCTGGGGCCAGGGAGGACCTTCGCGGGGCTTCCTTGCACTCCCGCTGGCCCTGCAGGTCCACTGCCGGGCCCCTCATGAGGCTCGGCAGTGGAGCTGCAAGGCCGGCGGCGGCGGCTGGGACCGTTGGGGGCGGGGTGTGTGGCCTTATGACACACTTCCGGTGATGTCAGGGGGTGTGGCCTTATGACACACTTCCGGTGACGTCAGGGGGTGTGGCATATGCTAATGAGTTATGCTAATGAGTTCCCCTAGCTCTTTTTCTACGAAATGACCTCTGCATAGGGTTGCCGGGTCGGCGCAGGCAACCCCCAGGTGCATTTGAGGGGCGGGGCCCAGGGCCCTCCCACTGTTGACCCCCCCAAGCACCAAGAAGACAGTGCATTTATATTACCCAAATTCTAAATTTTAAACTGAGTCCAAGCTCTCTTCAAAATCTTCATGATCTTCAGGAATACCCAGAATTCAACTTTGTTGGTCTTAAAGGTGCCACTGGACTCCAACTTTGTTCTGTTGCTTCAGACCGACACGGCGACCCCACCTGCCTCTTTTTCGTGACCAATGTGTTTTACCTTGTTTTGTATTCTTTATTGTTTTATTTCAAACTGTTTTAGTGTTTTATGTTTCTGAATACCTTCCGGCACAAAGGCTTCAGGCAGGTTGTGCGTCCTTCATGCTGTTGTTTAAGCCTTTCTCGGTACATTTACAAATAAAAGTTCGTTCCGTGCTCTGTGAGTTTTCTTAAAGTTGAAAAACTGCTTCAGCAGAAGGAAGAGGGGTAGACTCATATTGCCAGAGACCTCAGCCGCTAAGTGCTGTGCATAGCTCTCCTTACTGGAGCAGTTTTTTAACTGATTTTAAAAACAACTCATTTTTTTAAAAAAGCAGTGAACTTTTATTTGTATAAACATACAAGGAAAGGTTTAAACAACAGCACGAAGGACACCCAACCTGCCTGAAGACTTTTAAATCCCTGGTCAGTCTATATGTTGATTTAATTGCAAAAGCTGGAGGGAACAGGGCCGACCCATTATTGTTAAATTTTAGACCGTCGCCTAGGACGACAGCTTGACGAAGGCGCCATTCTGGCCGGCCTCGTCCCCTCCTCGCCCTGCACAGGAAGCCTCCCTTGCTGGCTTCTTGCTCCATCCCCGGCAAGAGACTACCCTCTTTGCAGCCCCCCAGACAGAAAGAGAAGGAGGCGGGGGGGGGGACAGGCGCGGCAGAGCGCCCGGGGCCCGGGCACATGATGAAGCCCCGCCCCCTGCTTCCGCCCGCCTCGCTTCCAGCCCTCATTCAGCCAGGAGGAGGCAGGAGAAGAGGGAGGGTAAGTTGCTTCCTCCCCGCCTCCCCCCACCCCCGCCTGCCTGGGGCCAGGGAGGGCCTTGGCGGGGCTTCCTCGCACTCCCGCTGGCCTTGCAGGTCCACCGCTGGGCCCCTGATGTCAGGGGGTGTGGCATATGCTAATGAGTTATGCTAATGAGTTCCCCTAGCTCCTTTTCTACGAAATGACCCCTGCCCTCCCCTTGAGCAATCCCACCCACACCCCTGCATGCATTTGCAGCTCACCCCCTCGGTACGCCCACTGTGGCTCCGGCCCCTGCCCCGCATGGGGGTGGGGAGCCAGAATGTATCCTCGCCTAGTGGGCGAAAAAACCTGGAGCCGTCACTGGGAGGGAAGATGGGCTCCAACTGCGTGCGAGAGAAAATAAAGGAGAAAACTTCCGTCTCTGGATATTAAGTCCAAGAAATAATGTTTTTTTCTACTGAGCTATTTGTGTTTGACTTCTTTAGGTAGAACATCTAGTAAACAGTACTTCAGAACTAGAAGTCTCCGAGGGCAAGACTCGAAGCGGAAGGAGATTTCAACGCACCAAAGTCAGTGTCTTATTTTTAAACGAAGGAGTGAAACATTTTGTTCAACGATAAGGCTAAGATAGAATACGTACAGATTGTCAGACCTTCTAAATGGGCTGAAATCACCTCAGTCTAAAAAAAAAAGTTAACAGTTAATATTTATTAATGTCTGGAGTCCAAATGCTTTACTCAGTGATTCTCACAGCAGATCCAAGCAGACTCCACATCTGAATGAGAGTTTGATACCTGGATCATTAGCATGACACATTAGCATAACTCATTTGCATATGCCACACCCCCTGACATCACCGGAAGTGTGTCAGAAGGCTTGTACCTGAATAAAACTTGGTCTTAAAGGTGCCACTAGACTGTTTTGGACCAGGGGGCCGGGGGGGGGGCTCTGCAGCTTACCTGGCTGCTTCTTGCTCTGACTGAGGGCTGCTGGGAGAAGGGGGGGTGGGGCTTTTTGCATGTGCCCGCCCCCTGGGCTCGTTACTGCCGGAGCTCCGCTCCTGTGCGCTCCTGCAGGAAATGACCCCTGGCTATAACCCACCGAGGCCCCTCCCCCAACCCCACCTTCCCCAGGACCTTCCCCCAAATCTCCAGAAATTTCCCAATACAGAGTTGGCAACCCTCCCCTCCTACCACAACAGTTTCTGCCCTTTACAGTGTTCCACTGCGGTGGCTCAAGTGGTTAAGACGCTGAACTGCAGGCTGTGGAAGGTCGGTAGTTCTGCAGTTTGAGACCCGGGTGCCGCATGATGGACTGAGCTTCCGTCTCTAGTTCCAGCTCCTGCCAACCTAGCAGTTTGAAAGCAAGAAATTGCAAGTAGATAAATAGGTACCACCTTGGTGGGAAGGTAACAGCGTTCCGTGCGCCTTGGTGTTTAGTCATGCCGGCCACATGACCATGGAAACGTCTTCGGACAGCGCTGGCTCTTCGGCTGGGAAACTGAGATGAGCACTGCAACCCTAGAGTCGGACTCGACTGGCTTTCGAGCAAGGGGACCTTTACCTTTACTGAGCTGGTACAAAAAAACAAGCCATCATACAAATAAATGGCGCGCCTCCAGTTCCTTCACCGACAGATACATTTTCACCTGTAAGCATTGTGAGGATGGTTCCGGTGGAATCAGCAACTTTAGGAAATGCCCTTCAGGATTTACAGTGGTGAACGTAAATCACAGGTCGTCATGACAAAAGGAAGGCTTGCCCTCACTGTCGCCACTCTTAAGACGCCTTCATTAATTTTTAACACACGAGGAGGAAGACGAACAGCCGACGGATGCACAGTGTGCTCCTTAATAGCTATCTGCAGACCTCTCTTCTGGAGCTAACAGTTCCTCTGTCTCCATGCAGGGTGGCGTGGAAAAGGGCAAAGCCCAGTTAGCACCAACAGGTCCCAACGAAATACAGAAGAGGCACAGTTTGGGATCGAGCAAGCCAGTAAGTTCGTATGCTGTCTTTTTCAGAGAGTAAGAGGTGTTTTCACCCTCCTCATTAATATAACTTTTGGGCGTGCAAATTCAGAAATATATATATTGATTCGGGTAATTTCTACCCTGATCCCCCCCCCCCGGGAGCCCTAAACACCTTGCAGAAATACAATTTAAATAAAAGACACAAAATATAATAAACTGCATCTTGGGCTAGCACTGGATCTACTTGCCTGGCTCATCCGAGGCCGCAGACTAAGAATCGAGGGGCAATAGTCTTGTGCCTCTGCCATGTCCAGGTGTTATACCTGTACTGGGAAGGGAAGAGGGAGCTCAGCTTCGATCTTATATAGATGGCAGAGAAGTTCATCGACATTTTCCTCCCTGCTTTCTGAATAGGGGCTGCCCGGTCCGGGTTGGAAAAATCCCTGGAGACTTTAGGGCAGTGGTGGCGAACCTACGGCACGGGGGCCAGATGTGGCACTCAGAGCCCTCCCTGTGGGCACGCGTGCCATCGCCCCAGCCAGGCCCAGACCGTCATTAAAGTGTCGAATTCTCTGCCAAATAATTTTAAGTCAATGAAACCATTTGGGATTGCTTTCCTCACTTTGTTTGGATCATCTTAAGTTAACGTATGAGCTGTTTTTTTTCTAAAGTAAAACCTCAGTATTCAGGTTAAATTGCTGTGTTGGCACTTTGCGATCAATAAGTGGGTTTTGGGTCGCAGTTTGGACACTCAGTCTCTGAAAGGTTCGCCATCACTGCTTTAGGGGGCGGATCCAGGAGAGGGCAGGGTTTAGGGAGGGGAGGAGCCTCAGCACGGTACAAGGCCATATAGCGTCCACCCTTCAAAGCAGCCATTCTCTCCAGGGGAGCTGATCTTTGACAACTGGGGATCAGTTGTAAAAGCAGGAGATCCCCAGGCCCCACCTGGAGGCTGGCAACCCTTTTCCTGAAGTTGGAGGAGTAGAGGAGGAGATTGGATTTCTACCCTGCCCTTCACTACCCAGAGGAGTCTCAGAGCGGCTGACAAACGCCTTTCCCTTCCCCTCCCCACAACAGACCCCCTGTGAGGTAGGCGGGGCTGAGAGAGCTCTGACAGAAACTGCCCTTTTTCGAGAACAGCTGACAGAACTATGGGTTGCCCGAGGTCATCCAGCAGGTGCAAGTGGAGGAGTGGGGAATCAAACCCGGTTCTCCCAGATTAGAGTCTGCACACTTAACCACGACACCAGACTGGCTCTCTGGTATTACAATCCAGGAAAATTAGATCATTCATTGCATCACAAACCAGTACACATTCATGCTGAGAGCCAGTTTGGTGCAGTGGTTCTTCTCCATCACTTATGCAATGAAATAGGTGAAACTATTGAACTCCATGTGAATTGGGCAGCTTTTCCACTGAAGTGCAATTTTTCATACATCATCAACGTATAGACTCTTGGTTAGAAGAAGACGTTTGCCAAACTTTACAGTTTTTGTTAAAGAAATATTGAGCACACTGTGTACAGTTCTTGTGGTTCTATTTTTGCATGTCTATGGACGGTGACCATATTTGTTTTTGTATACATTAATATTGGAATTTTTTATGGTGCAGATTAATACTCGGTTTGCTTAAATAGGGAATTGGCCAAAAAGACTGACACAACCCCTTTTAACTTTGAAAGGGGTAACTTCTCTGATATGAGGGGACATGTGGGGAGGAAACTGAAAGGAAAAGTAGAAAGGGTCAAAACCATTGGGGAAGCTTGGAAACTATTTAAAACTACCATCCTAGACGCTAAAAAAAATATATATTCCGCAGGTTAGGAAAGACACAAACAGGAAAAACCCTGCATGGTTAACAAACAAAGTAATCGAAGCTGTAAAAGGTAAAAAGGATTCCTTTAAGCAGTGGAAAGCTAGTCACAGTGAGGCTGATAAAACGGAACACAGGCTATGGCAAATAAAATGCAAGTCTGTAGTCACTGAAATGCTTCAGTTAATAAAACAGGAGTTTAACTGTTATTGTCAAATTTCCCTCTTACAAGCTTATGTGCCATTCCATTTTCAAGGTCATGAAAGAGGTAGTCAATCATGTTTTGTATTGTTTTCCCCTCCCAAGTCATTTAGTATGAGTAAACTAGTCACCTGTGATTTTCTAACCTAAAGGATATTAATAGGTGAGATCTTTCTTAACCTGAAAGCCAGCTGTCAGTCAGTGCCTGATAGATGTAAAAGGCAAAGTAGTAAGTGATTGTATAAACCATTGATTAGATAGCCATTCTTATTGTAAGAATTCTTTTTGGGGTTGGCATATTACTTTGGAAGATGTTATTTCCTGAAAATAGCCATGTGTAATAGATGCAGTCACTTGCACCAGACCTGTATTTATTGCTATAGTCCCATGTTCCCATTATATAATGTTGCAAGAGATACAAGTTCTTCCTTTGGTACAGTTTTCAGTCAATCTGGTTTGTAATGCTATATGGGAAATGGGATTATTGTCTTATAATTTTTGGTGTAGGTTCTCAATTCAGCTTCTCCGTTTTGATTAATTATTTGTAGATGATGATTTGTAATTATTTGTAGATTCCCAATCACTTCTGGCACTAGAATTAAGGTAACATATATAAGCATGCCTAGATGACATGCATAGAACAAAAGCATTTGTGCAAAATATAATTAATATGGCCTGGATCCACACTAAGTTTTCCACTCACACAAGACACTTTTCTCAGTGGAACAGGACATTCATGACTCATCTTCCCACTGATCTCCTGACATACTGTTCATGGGGGACAAGGGACCCTCAGAAACAGTATGAGAGGCAAAGCGAGAGTCTGCAGCAGGAAGAAGAAATTGGTGGAATTTGCCTCCTGTTAGCAGAAAATGTAGTCTGCATCCACCCCTATGTGTGTTTATTAGAGGCAGAGCAAGGTGCACTAATCTTTCTCAGGCAGAAATGTTATAACATCCTGGTTTCATCAGTGGAGTATGGATGTGTGCCAGACGCCAACCACTTTATTAACTGCATTAGGAGTAAATAGGAGCCAGAATACTAAGAACTGAGCCACAGTATCTCTGTATTGCCTCTGCCCCTTTGTTTAATGTTAATTTGCTGTAACACATGCCTAGAAATAGCTTTAGTTTAATATGGCAGTAGTAATATATAACACACCTACAAAGAAGCTTATATCTGGTCCTAATATTCTGAAATACTGCATGTTATATTCTCTTTTCTTTTTTGTTTCAGAAACAGTGAGGCACCGTTTCTTCTTTTCCTGTCTTACCTTCATGTCCATACAGCTCTTTTTGCCTCTCAGACTTTTAAAGGAAAAAGCAAACACGGATTATATGGTGATGCTGTGGAAGAAATGGACTGGAGTGTAGGTATGTTGTTTGAGGTGTACAACTCATGAAGTTTACAACAATTTTTTTAAAAAATCAGCAACCTTGAATACCTCACCCCCTCAAAAAAGTGTTTGGTTGCAAAGGGGAAAAAAAGGACAATTGTGCTAAATCACTCACACACAAGTGATCCAAAATGATTTCTGGGTATCCAGCTAAGCTGAATGGTTAATCTTCAGTGCATGTGAGGCAACCTAAAAAAATGATAAATTTGATGTGCTTTTAGCTTTTAGCTATTTTAACTGTTAAAAGGAAAGGTGGGAAGAATTAAAGTGTAGCGTGAAAGAGATGTTGCAGCTATCTTCACAAAATATTTAAAATCTGTATATTGACGGTGAAACTAGAGGATGTAATGTCTGAAAAGCTCTGGTGACAAGCAGGTACGCAGAGACAAAAATGTACAAACAACTCACCAAATACTGCCTTGTACAAACGCCATGCATTTCAGTGAAGTGATGACAAAGCATTGCTTAGGGGCTCTGGGGCAAGTGATGCTCCATCTTCTTGGTGCTTGGGGGGGCCAACAGTGGGAGGGCTTCTAATGTCCTGGCCCCACTGGTGGACCTCCTGATGGCACCTGGTATTTTTGGCCACTGTGTGACAGAGTGTTGGACTGGATGGGCCATTGGCCTGATCCAACATTGGCGTCTCTTATGTTCTTATGGGTGTCTGTTGTGGGGAGGGGAAGGGAAAGGAGTTTGTAAGCCGCTCTGAGACTCCTTCGGGTAGTGAAGGGCGGGGTATAAATCCAATCTCCTCCACACACACACACTCTCTGTATCCTTGGTATGTCTTCCCTAGAGAGCTCTGCCTGATGTAATAGAATCATAGAATGTTGGAAGGGACCTTGCAGGTCATCTAGTCCAACCCCCTGCACTCTGCAGGAGTATAGCCGAAAGATAGCCCTACAACATACCCGAAAGATGGTCGTCCAGCCTCCGCTTAGAAATGTACAGTGAAGGAGCATCCACCACCTCCTGAGGCAGTCTGTTCCACTGCTCAATCACTCTTACAATGAGGAAGTTTCTCCTGATATTTAGCCGGTATCGACTCCCTTGTCATTTCCACCCATTAGATCTAGTCTTGCAATCCGGAGCAAGAGAGAATAGGTCCACTCCCTCTTCTACATGGCAGCCCTACATGTCTTCACTCTCAGCCTTTCAAAATCAGGCAAAGCCTTTTTTTATTTTGCCTTTGTTTGATCTTTATTAACCCACTTCTATTCCAAATCCCTTTTTATTCTGGTACTGAAATATTTTTTAATTGAATCGGAGTTTATACCTCACTGTGTTTTAAATTGCAGTTTAAGAACATAAGAACATAAGAGACGCCAATGCTGGATCAGGCCAAAGGCCCATCTAGTCCAACACTCTGTGTCACACAGTGGCCAGAAATACCAGGTGCCATCAGGAGGTCCAGCAGTGGGGCCAGGACATTAGAAGCCCTCCCACTGTTGCCCCCCCCCAAGCACCGCGAATACAGACCATCCCTTGCCCCAGACCGAGAGTTCCTCTCTATACCTTGTGGCTAATAGCCCCTGAGGGACCTCAGCTCTTAACATAAGAACATAAGAGAAGCCAATGTTGGATCAGGCCAAAGGCCCATCCCGTCCAACACTCT